AAAACCACAAACAAAACGGAGAGACATTAAGATAGGGCAAGAAGAAGATGAGAGGAAATAGGACAGAGCAACGAAATTTGAAATACTTACATATCTGTACCTAATCTAACTACCCAAATAAATGAGAGTAGACTGTCAGGAAATCTATAACATAAGTGGAAATACAGAGTCTAAACGTAAAAGAGTATACTTTATGGGTAATTTAACCATATGAAAACAAAAATACTAAATTATTACAGAAAAACTGAGAATTGGAGTGAAAGGTAATAACTGAAATCATTTCTAAAATTTCAACTTAAGACAAGGGGAAAAAGGAGAAAAAAGTATATTGAAAAACAATCAATGAATGTCTGGAGGTGATGTAAGGAACAGGGGCATCTTCAGGATCCTGTGTGTTCCTCCTCTTTCTGCTGTTGGTACAGATGCCCGGGAGTGCACAGTTTATATACCTTGATCCTATGAAGTTGCAGGCTTTGATTAGACTGAGCTGCATGAAATTGCTGATTGTACAATGCAATGCTTTAACCATGCCCGCAGCCCAAGGTCATCTTCCAAGGACGGCACATTCTCCCTTTGTTGCACAGTGCACTAGCTGGACGTAGTAGTCTTCCTTGCAACAGTGTGCAGGCCCACAATTGCTCATACTGAGGACTCAAAACCAAATGGGTTTCTCTACTTCATATATTACCAGTGATGGCTTGTTTGTATTTTCTTTTTTTTGGTACCGGGATCAAAGGGGGATCAAACTTGGGTCCTTGCGCTTGCGGGCAGGCCGCAGAACCACTGAGCTAAATCCCTGGCCCTTGTTTGCATTTTCTGTGTGTGAATTTCCCACTTTTAAACTGCATAAATTTCCACAAGTTTAAAAGGACAAAGAAATAAACAGTTCCTCCTCTGGGAATAGAAACAAATTGTTCCAAGTTGTCTGAGCTAATAAAGCAGCCACTCCTCACAAAACAATATTTTTGCAGGAATGGCAATTCTGTAGCTTTGTTAGATTCTCTGCAATGGTAGTCACAAGATACAGAATGAAATCTTCAATTTTATTTACCTTGTGAGATGAACTGTAAGACTAATTTAATAAGCTAGTCTTTTTATGGCTTTATAATTATTTACAGTAATTTATAAGACCTACTAATTGAAGCTAGCCAAAACTTCTAACAAGAGTGGGCTAAATAATAGTAGCATCTTTCAATTTTGTTAGAATTGCAATTCTCTTCAATGGTTTGGAAGGTATTTTTAGCAAATTTATGGCACATGAGGCAAAACTGATTTTAAATAAAAAGTTTAGAATTTTTTTGAGCAATACATTAAGGATAGTATTAAAACATTTCTTTAAAAGGCAATAGATGCAAATGGGTCAGGGAAGTATTTATCTTGCCCCCTAGTCCCTGTCACACAGAACTCCCATAGCCCTTGTAATGTCTTGAATGGTAAGGGTGCCGGAGAATCCTCTGTTCTAATGTTTGGTCTCTGTCTCAGTTCCTGACACAGAGCTCTTAAATCCCTTTGCATTTGGGGTGATAGGACCATCTTTTGTTCCACTAAGGTGACTCCCGGTGGGCTCCTGGAATGACACTGGTCACCAGAAAAAGCAACCTGTGCTTAGAAGCTTGGCCCCTCAGCCAAGAGAATGAGGACGTGAGACAGGGCAGGAAAGGGAGGTAAGGATCCATCATGCCTATGTGATGAAGTCTCCATGAAAATTTCTGAACCATGGCTTTGGTAGAGCTTCCAGGTCAAGGAACACATTTATGTGCTGGGAGAGCAGCACATCCCAACTCCACAGGGAGAGCTCCTGTGCTGTGGACCCTTCTCCCCTATCTCACTGTATGCATCTCTTCCATCTGGCTATTCACCTGTATTCTTTGTAGTGTCCTTTATAATAAATGCATAAATGTAAATAAAGTATGTCCCTGAGTTCTGTGACCCATCCTAGCAAATTAATCAAACCTAAGGAAGAGTTCATGGGAATCCCAATTTCTAGCCAGCAGATCAGAAATATAGGGAACAATGTATTACTTGGAACTGGCATTTGAGGTAGGGTCAGACCTGTGAGACTGAACCCTTAAGCTATAGAATCTGACACCATATCCAGGCCAAAAGGGTCAGAATTCCATTGAATTAGAGGATACCCAGCTGGTGCCTGCGGGAGAACTGCTTGATTTTGGGTGGGAAGAAACCCTGTACATTTCAGTTGACTAATGGTGAAGTGTTCTGTGTTACATTGAGTACATGAGAGTAAGAAAAGAAAAGTCTAAAGAACAAGAAACTAGAGACATTTATAGCTAAGTGGATGCACATTGAGGCCATACTCTTAAGTGAAATAAATAGGACACACAGGTGTAAATACCGCATAGTTTCTCTTGTGTGAAAAACTAAAAGTGTAAATAAGAATCAAGACGTATAATTGATATTGCGAAGTAGGAAGAAAAGTTTTAAAGGAGTAGGGAAGTGGGAAGGGTTGGAGAAAGAAAAGAAGGGAAAAGAAAAAATACGAGAAAAGGAAAAAGATGGAAAAAAATTAGAACAAAGTCTTTGTAAATAGGGAAGGGAGGACAGGAAATGGGGAAAAAAATAAGAACCAAAATACATCATGTAAGGGTTCAAGATCCCAATGATGAATATAACTGTATTGTATACCTAAAATGTACCAATAAACTTAATGAAAAAAAAAAGAAAGAAAACAAAAGCCATCTTGGTTTTGCCTTTCTAATAGCAATCAATTAAGGTGTCTTAAAAACAAATACCCTAAATATTTGATCTTGACTTTTACCATTATGACACCAATGCGTGATTACAGTTCTTTTACAATTCTCATTTATAATACATTATATTCAGTTACAGTTTTAGTTCTCTTAAATTAGGGATGAAATTTAGACATTTATAAAATTACATGAGTTCATGATCCTTTAAGATTTTTTTTTTTTGCAAATTTGTGTATTTCTTCTCCTTTGGGGAAAAAAGCTATTTAAAATTAAATACAATAGCCAGCACAAATAGTATTAACAGGACTTAGGAGAAACATTTAAGTAGCTCTCCATAGTCAACTGGACACTTGGGGCCAGGGCTACTTCGGCATGGGGAAAGTTGCCTTCTAATCAGGCACTGTAGTTTATTGTGGGCATCACTCAGTAAGTTTACACACTGAACGTACAGCACAGAACGAACTTCAGTGTGTGGCAAAATTTCCTAGAGGGCTTGGTGAAACCCAAATCACTGTACCCCACGATCTGATGGAGAAGAATTATGTTGGGGCCTTCAGAATCTGCATTTATAACAACTCCTCAGGCGATCTGAGACTGTTGGCGGGGGCCACACTGGGAAACCCTGACATAGACCAAGCCAGCAAGTAGGTAAATGGAAGTCAATTACCGATAATACTCTGTATAGTCTTGCTTCCATTTAATGAGTAAACACTGGTGTTTATTTTAAATCAAGCAGAACAAAGCATGGATTGCTGTCATGTACCTTTTTCCATGCTACACAGTCACCCCTCCGTATTCATGGGTTCTACATTCAATCCACTGTGAACTGAAAATATTTGCAAATAAAAGATGGCATCTAGACTGAGGATATACAGACTTGGTTTTTGGTCCCTGTTCCTTAAAGAATAGTGTGACAACTGCTTACTTTTGTATTATGTTAGTTATTCCAAGCAATCCAGAAGTGACTTAAAATCCATGGGAGGATGTTTCAGTTATATGTAAATACTTCACCATTGTGTACAAAGGGCTGGAGCCTCCTTCGGTCTTGCTATTCACAGGCTTTCCAAGAACCAGTCTTTCCTGGATACCAAGGGATGACTGTATGGTATTTGATTTAGGAGTTGAATTGTATTAACACAGAAAGAAAATTTATGTATTACTTACTAGAGATTACTAGAAATTGAATTACTGCTTTCAAATCAATGTTTGAAATGATTGTATTTTGTGCTTAAAATAGCAAATCACTTGTTTTTTTTATGACTGTTGTTTCTGAACGATGAGAAAAATTTCAGAGCCTTAATTGTGAACTTTTCTCTGCCAATAACACTTGGAAAATGTGGCTAGTTTTTATTCTCAATCATTGCAAAGTCAACTCATATATAAGGATAACAGTAGTCACTCTTTTTCTTTTGAATAATAGTACTGGGGATTGAACCCAGGGCCCCGAGTAGGCCAAGCCAGCACTCTACCACCAAGCTACATCCTTAGTCTTCATCTTATTTTATTTTGAGACAGGCTCTCAGTAAATTGGTCACGGTGGCCTTCAACTTGCAATGTTACAGGTGCACACCACTATGCCCGCATACTTTCCCTTCTTTCTCCTGTGTGTCCTTGAAGCATATCTGAGAACTGACTGTACTGAATAAAAAATCAACATGAGATGAATTCAACTTTCTGAACAGGAGAGGTGTCAGGGTGAAGTTACAAAACTGGTTGCATTATTTTTTAATACTGGGGATTGAACCCAAGGCCTTGCTTGATCCTGAATTATATCTTCAGCCCTTTTTTATTTTTTGAGACAAGGTTAGTCTAAATTGCCCAAGCTAGGGTTGAACTTTCAATCCTCCTGCTCTGCTTTTCAGGGAAAACACTCACTTTATTTTACTTATCTCTAGATTCAAAACTGAAAGTGAAACATGAGGTATGACTATCTTTAACCATGGAAACCCCTAGAAATACAGTAGGGAAACTAAATGATGTTGTGATATTATTATATCACTGAGGTTCTCATTAAGAATGATACTGTAGAAGTAGATTTATCAACATGGAAATTGTTGAGTTAAAATGCCAAATACAAAGCACTTTAGGTAGGATGAGTCCATTTTTATAAGGAAAAAGTTGAAGTACATACAACAGAACTTCACCAGTAGTTATCCTAAGGGAAAGGGAAGTGTTGGGTTCCTGGTGTTTTTTGGTTATGCTCTTTAGTACTTTCTGTTGATCATTACCCATGTGTGTTAGTTACTTTTCTCTTGTTGCTGAGACAAAATACCCAACACCCAAAGTTGGAGGGGAAGGGGTTTATTTGGCTTATAGCTCATAGGGGTTTCTGTTTATAATTAGCTGACTCCAAGGCAGGGATGACAAACAGGCATGGCAGCACAGAAACAAAATGGCACACACAAGGTAGCAAAGGCAACCGAGTTTAACAGCATCTTTCTGCCCCTTTTATCTTATTCAGACTACTGGGATTAGGGCAGTGCCAAGTTAATCACTCACATGTAATGGTTTAATAATCACACGCACTGGTTTAATAATCACACGCACTTAACCCCAGCATCACACATTCCAGATTCAACTACCTCCAAAAAAGGAAGTCCCACCTCATCTGCACGAAGCTTCGGGGGAACATTTAAACACAAACCACAACATCATGTGATTAAAAAAACCAGTGACACAGCTATTATTTTTAAACCAAGCACAAGTGACACCGAGAGAATATAACCATCATCCCCCATAGTTTATTTTAAAATAATGTCCCTTATTGGCCTGTCTAGGACATAGTGTCACTATTCCTACATGAAAGTGTTGCGTATACAGATCGTGCGGACACAAAAGCGATATATATATGGTGACACAATTTAGCATTACACATCTGTAGGATGCAGTATTTACTGTATAATTATTCCTCCGAATACAAGCTATTTACAGTGATGGAATAACAGACACTGAAATAGGCACCATTGTAAATTACTGGTAGTCACTATAGCAACGCTGTATGATAGATTCTATTTTTGTCCCAGTGATTATAAAATTACTTTTACTACTAACCTGAATGTCTTCAATGTTTTAACCTGAATGTTTTAAATATGTAAAATATTTAAAATTTAACTCTTAAATATTATTTTAAATACATTACCTTAAATATGAGCTGGCCATAAATTTCCTTCTCCCAACCAAAGTTAGAGGATTATTAATATCAAAGTACTAGTGTCAAAGGATTGTGATTGGATTTTGGTTGAAATATTCTGGTGCTGTTGAATAGTTTATGTTTTAAGAATGAAAAACAAATATGTTAGTTACTTCAATAGATAGAATGAACATGACCTCAGAGCTATATATTAGAAAGCTCAATCTTTATTTTTGATTATTTTTCAATTTAAATCATCCTTTGAAAAGAAAGAAAAAATAGGAAGAAAGAAAAAAAGAAAGAGGAAAATAAAGGAAGGAAGGGTGAGAGGAAGAAAGGAAGGAAGAAAGGAAGGAAGAAAGAAAGGGAGGGAGGAAGGAAAAAGACCATAGGAAAAATCACATCTATATTTGAAGTTTAAAGGAGAAATCTGGCAGGAATGTGGTGGTGGGTAGCACTTTGGAGGCAGAGTATGATTCAGTATAAGCTTCCTGGTCATTGGCAGTGGCCTGTGACTGTGGGAAGCTGCTTACAGTCTGAGTCTCTGCTTCCTCATCCTTCAGCCCTGAGCAGGTTTTTGTTAGTAATACACTCAGAATCTTAGAGAAATTCCTGTGATCCTGATGTTCTACATTCTAATAATCTCTGTTCCCATCCTGCTGAAGTAGGTGGTATCCCTAAGAAAATACGAAGATCATCATTTTTGATGTTACTTTTTGCATATTTAACTCTACGTGTGTAGAGAGATTGTCAAACTGGAGGGTCAATGTTTACATTTCCATTGACACTCTTCAGTCATTGGTTCATAGCCACAGTAGGGTTGGTTCCGAGGATCCACACGGAGGCTAAACTCTTAGGATGTTCAAGTCCTTCCTATAAAATTGTCTAGAATTTGCATACAACCTACACACCTCCTCCCATATCCTTTAAATCATCCCTAGATTACTTATAAGACCTATGTAAATAATTATTATAATACTCTATAGCAAATATTAACAAGAAAAAGTCTGTACAGTCACTATTTTTTTAACATTTGAATCCACAGTTAGTAGAATCCTTGAAGAACCCTCAGATACAGAGGCCTGACAGTATATATTTTTACTCAACTCACATGTTATTTAAGCCACTACAACAATGAAATTTATGAAATTTAATTTACAAATACTATACATTTGTATTAAACATCCTTCATAGTAATTAAAATATTATCTGCAGATACATGAATGATACTCAGATCTTCTAAGTTCTTTTGTGCAATTGTTTTAGTTGCTCTACTATTTCATAAGATTGGCATAAGCCACTGTGGGAACATCTTAGAAATACTCCAGGAATGATGGAAGACATCATATTGTTCACATGGGGTTTTATTTATCTACTGTCCTATATACATTGCAGTGTATTCTAGTTTGCACAGTACTTTTAAATGTGTGATTTCATTTGATACAACTCAGTGGTGGTGACTATCCCAAATTAACACATAAGGTGACTGAGATGCAGAGAGTCTTTATGCCTTTCCAAGGTCACACTGTAAGAAGCAGACTCTGATGCAAATGTTTTGATTCAACAATGACTGCCTCCCCCAGTACCATCATACCCATTGGCCCAGAAGTCTAAAGCTCTAAAGGGAAGATATGAACATAAGGTATCATTTTCCAAAGTCCCAGGGGGACTATACAAACTGGAGATTCAGAGTGGTCTTTCAAGATTTCTCCCAGCTACAGGATCCTAAGGGAAAAGCCTCCTGGTTTTGGAGGATGTACAGGCATACTGATTCATCCACTAAAGCAACTCTCTGAGGTACTACAATTGCAACCACAATCACAACAGATGCACTCCTTTGCCATGTAGGAACTAGGTCTAAAGATGGAAAGGTATCAGGTGCTTCCTACACAGGGTGATAAATACAAAGGTGAGCCATCCAGGATGACGGACAGAGGAGACTATGAGAGACATGGACTGGGCAACTGGAGGAAGTGATGCAGAGTTGAGACATAAAAAACCTCGAGAAGCCATATGTTAAATAGCAAGAAGGGGAAAGAGGAAAGAAGGAACAGCATGCGCAAAGACCCAGAGACTACAAAGAGTGTGCTGAGTTTGAGGAATTAGAAGACAGTCAGACTGGGTGAATTGTAAAATCTGAGATCCTTACCTTCAAGGAGTCTAGATTCTATCTTGACAAAAAGGATGGTCAATAAGGGGTCTTCAACAGACCAGAATTGTATAAAATTGAGAGAACTGTGGTAATCCAGTTGTGTGGTGGTGGATGAGGTGGTCTAAACCAGATAGTGACATGAGACAAATATAAAAAAGGATGCAAGAGATCTTCAGAATGTAGACTCCTAAGACCCAATCGCTGATTGGATGTGGATGGTAACTGTGTGTCGGGGGAAGCAAGTTAGAGTTCCCATAATGAGGGCAGCAAACTGCTCAGCTCAGAGTGCAATGCAGAAGAGAGGAACTGGCACCAGGGTGTACTCAGCCCCCTCATGCCCTCGTACTGTGGCCCCAATTGAAGTTCTTTTCCAATATGAAGAAAGCTCCACACTTTGTATAATTCTGAGAACTGGATATCGCTTACTTATATTATATGGGTGAAACTGTAATTTGATCAACTCCAAGATATTGCTTTATTCCTTGACAGCACAAATAATTAAATCAAACAAAGCTAAATATATAGCACAAGAAACAACCAGATTATTAAAATACTTAAAAGAAATCCATGCAATTTGTCATAAATGACTGTCATGAGGACACAGCCAAGGGTGAGGAAGGACAAAGAGGGATTAATTTGGCACAAACATTTTCATGTGAGCTGGAAGGGTCTCATAAATTAAACATGTCTAGGGATGTTTGAAGTCACTGTGAGGGAGAATACCCACCTTATAATATCTAAGCTGATCAAATGTATCCTTGTTTTCTTTTTCACTTTTGTGACCATTTAATTCACTCAATTAGTATTTAGCCCGTGCTGCTCATTTCATCATTCTTAACTCACACCGGAAATCCCAGTGGGTGAGGTCACATGGGCAAAGAGCATAAGACACACTAGGAATGTGACAGGAAGAGTGAATGGCTTTTTATGAAATTCACAAAAACTGGCTTATTAGAATACATCATCTTCTTGATTGTAGAACATGTCTGACTCCACGACCTCAAAACTTGGGTAATGGTAGCTTCTGTCCATCGGGGTCGTATCACGTTTACTCTTCTTCCTCTTCAGTAGCTCTCCTGCCTGCAGGTCAGACAGTGCAGACCCAGCGGAACTCACAGTCTCAGGCCCTTTGGCAAATGGAACCTCAGTTGTACCCAGCTCAGTGGAGTCGGAATGACTGGTTGGGGGCAAAGGCCGTTCACTTCGTAGCCTTTTTCTTATTTCTTCTTCTTTCCTCTGAAAATCAGTAGTAAAGAATGAAAAAACAAAAGCCCAAGGAACTGTAAGTTTTCATTAATGTTGCTTGTCATGAACATTTCTGATTTTTCTATTTTATTATTCAGTCAGGTAACACACATTTGTTGAGGAGGCCCCATTGAAGAAAACAGGTAGAGGGCCGACCCTCATGGGGTTGATAGTCTAGTACTTGCTGCCTCTGAGGCCAAGTAGAGAGATGCAAAATGAAGCCTATGGGACTAAAGCGGTGAAGGCTGCTTCTTGGCAAAATGGCCGGTAGAGGGTCGCGGGATATTGTTTATTAAAGCTATATGGCTGAAACTGTAATTTTCAGTCAACTTTAAGATACTGCTTCATTCCTTCACAACACAAAGGTATTTAAAAAAAGACAAACACTAAGCATACAGCATAAGAAACATACAGATCATCAAGCTAATGAATTTATCTTAAAGTTAATGACAGGAAAGGTCTAACAGGAGCTCCTTTTCACAAGCAGTGAATTTCTCAGATTTAAGCACTGAGAACTCATTTACCTTTCGGCGCTCCTCTGCAGCCTGCATCTTTTCTTCTATGTCCCTCATTGTGAAATCCTTTACATTCTTCTTGATCTTAAGTTTCTTCAGTCTGGCTGGTGGCTTTCTCAGAGGCTTCTCAGTTGTGTGCACCTGGAGGAAGACATCTTTTAAAATGGAGATACAGCTGTATCCACTGGGAGAAAAGGCAGGAGAGGTAGAATAAATGCAGTTTAAAATGTAAATTGTAAAAAATCTAAACTTTCCAGTAGCGGATTAAAATAACTACAGCAACTTGAAAGCTGGTAACAATAAAATTAATTCCTAAAGATAAAATACATTAGCTAGCTTAAAATTATCAGGTAATTACATAATAAAAAGTGTTTAGAATGCCAGATGTTCTGACCTTGGATGGACAAGGACTCATAAGAAGAAAAAACATCTTCAGAATGAATGCAAGATGGAAAGGTGGAAAATGAGTGATAAATTTGTAGTTCAAATAAGAAAATAAGTTCAAATTTTTACCTTGATTAATAATATTCAGTAAGAATATTCATTGATATTATAATATTACACAAGCTACAAATGACTTTCATTTAGATAGAGACTAGTTTTTACTATTTTTGATCTTGAGGTTGAAAGAGATCATTATTATCGAGCAATAAGTCTTTGCTGGGCTTTGCTATTGGTGCATTACAGATATTTTCATGACAGTATACAAATGTCATTTCATAGTATTGACTATCTTTTTGACAGTTCAGAGATGTTACAATGACTTTCTAATTATAGTTTCTAGTCACAAAGTTATTATAAAAGGTTTATGAGGAAAGTTTTAATTTACATGTTTTTTAAAATGTACATTTATGATGAAAAAATAAAATGATGCTAATCTCCAAATTCTCTGTTTAACAACTTTGCTCCCAATCTTACTCCTCAGCATGAACCTTCTAGAGTATTTTTGTGTATCTTTCCAGATATTCTCTCTCTCTATTCAAACATCTGTAATGTTAAACACAACCTAAATGGGATAATATCACATGGTTCTGCAATTTGCTTTATTTTATTTAATATTGGCATCCATCTAGTCATTATATATAGATTTATTACAACTAGGGAAAGATTTTAATGAACTACAAGTCTTCATTATAAAACAAACTGAATATTGTTCTAGATGATTTCTCTGAAGTCATCTTTTTAAAGACAAAGGAGCTATTAATATTCACTTTAATTTCCAAAATACTCTCTCTTCAGACTATAATGTAGATACTGGGAAAATAAATCAACCAAAGAAAGGTAGTTTAGCATAGAAGAGGAAAAAAAATGATTGGGACTCAGACAAATCTGGGTTTGAATCCTTACTTGGATAGGGAGCAAGTGACTACTTATGAGTTGTTAAATTCTGTAAGCCTTGGCTACCTCATTTTTAAAACAGGCTTAATAAGGGCCGGGGATTTAGCTCAGTGGTTCTGCAACCTGCCTCACAAGCTCAAGGTCCTGAGTTCAATCCCTGGTACCCAAACCAAAACAAAACAAAAAAAACAACAAAAAACCCAAAGCAGGCTTAATGATACTTATAAGATTTTTTTAAGGGAGGAGAAAGTGTCTGATACCCACTTAGTAAGGATAACTACTTTTCCATAGGTCAGATCAGTGACTTTTTCAATGACAGCCCACAAAATTATAAGCAGGATGCAGGGAAAGAGAACCGGAAGAGCACCTGAATGGAAACCGGAACCAGAGGTGGTCGCTAGTATCCCAGCAGGCTCTACCACTAACATCCAGTGTGTATCCAGAGACAAATACCACTTTTTTAGAATTCAGTTTTCTTAACTGTAGCATAGTGGGAGAACAGGGGACTTCTAAATTTCCTTGCAGCTTTAAAAATCTGAGTCTCAGAAAGTCTTAAACGGAGAATGTTTATTGATGTTTGGCTCTTACAATCTTTTGATGGTGTTATGTAGTGTGAAATTTCTACTACGTGAAAATTAGACGTACTTTAAAGCAAGTTCTCCATCTCCCTCATTTTGTATCATTCTTATGACATTTGCTTTTTAAGCCTCTGGCTGGCAAAAGTCATTTGCTGAACAGAGGAACATACTTGTTATGGTGGCTTAAATAGGGATACTGTGAAATTAGTATGAGAACTTTTCTGAGGATGTTCACTCATAGAGAGTTAAAAGAAAATTAAACAGTAATCCAAGATCAAATAGAGAAATCCTAGACTTTACACAGCAGTCTGAATCTTGACTAAATTATGAGATCACTCAGTAGCTCTGAGAGAAGTTTGGATTTTCAGGTTGGGTAGACCTTCCTATGGCTTTCTCTCAAAATGATGCCTGTGAAATCATGTTCTTCCTCCCCTTGAGAAGTTAATCCTACCTGTACAGTTCTTGCCTTTTCTTGAGTTTGACATTTTATGGAAAAAAATTCAAAGACCTATATAGATTTACCTGTATTCTTTACAGCTGAGTTCTATGAAGTCACGGTTTGTCAAACACTGGCACTTAAAAATGGTTATAATGGTCACAATATTCATAGAGATGCCACCAATATAAATCAAACAACAACCACCTTAAAGTCAAGAGAAGTTACCAGTACCATTATTTTTGTTATGAAAACTATTAGAGGGCCAGGGATTTAGCTCAGTGGTTTCGCCACCTGCTGCGCAAGCGCAAGGACCCAAGTTCGATCCCTGGTACCAAAACAAAACAAAACAAAACAAACAAACAAACAAAAACTATCAGAGAACTACCAATTCCAGATGCTGCAAAAAGATTTATATCTTGCTTCTAGCCATAATTTATACAAATTAGCCAACCTACCTTCTATAAATTATGTCTCACATCCATGGTGTATTATTCAGAGATTTCCTACTTAACTATTGACGTATGGGTGAACCTACCCTGGTTTTGTTCTCTAAGAGAGTCTCATGTATAGACTAGACCAAAGATTTCTGCAAAAGATCTGATCATCCCTGTTCTTTCATTCTCCTAGAGATAGGCAAATGGTCACTTTCACCATTAACTGAAATTGTTTAGTCCTAACTCATTCAACTTCCTCCTTAAAAACTTCCCTTGAGATTCAACAAGTAATGTGAGACTCTTACACAATGTGAATAAACTCCCTAACTACATTAAAGGTTACTAAGTACAAACTTTGACAAGACACAAGAAGAATTAGTAGAGAATTCACTGAACCTCATGCAAGGTCCTAGAATGTACTAAGAGGTAGGGAGAAAGAAGTTTGGGATAAAAAAACCACCTAAACTTGATAATATCTGTATGGATAAATGAGAGTCTCTCACATCTCTCTAAAGCGGTCTATACTAACTGAAACACACATCAACACCTGTACAAAATACAACTACATATTTATAATATAGTCACTTTAAATTTCATTAGAATGATTTATAATACACTGAGTCATTTAATAATCTGATCATATTTCTTAGATAAAATTTTAACTCTTAAATAAGTAGAAAATCTCTTAATATGAAAATACTTAAAAACTGAAGATCTAGACCCAGAGAGCACTGTGGAACTATTGCAGTACTCACCAGCCAGTGAGTAAAATATTCAAGAAAAAAAGTTGAAAGGAGCCCTATTGTAGACACAGACAATCCCATAGACCTCTAGGAAGAGATTCTTCATGAGGTTGGTCCTAGTTTAGGAAAGAAATGGAGGACCTTCACTTTTCAGCATCCTTTACACTACTTAAGTCTAAATGAAAACCCAGTGGGAGAGAACTATCTGGCTAAGAAGGGGATAGGTCTACATCCAGTGTTCTCTTGTACTTAAGCATACTATTGGGTTCACATCTGAAGCCTGTTTAAAAAAAGTATTTTTGCCTTTATTCTGTTTCTCCTATGATATTATATTTAAAATACTTTTTCCTTAGATCAAAGAAAAAATAATGTTTATATTGGATTGGATTCATCACATTGTAGTAACTGCTGACATTGGCTATTCTTTTTTAACATCATCCTCTATTGTTTCCTTGACTCTGGCTTTTCTATCAATTTTCTCTGTTTCTTCATAAAAATTAAGTATTAGCTACTTCTTAGCATTAACAGTCCAATATTTCTATATCTTATTAAAATTTCCCTTAGTCCTTCCATATTTATTCTTGTCTTTTTACATGGGCCTCATAACTTTTACCAACAAATTTAAGGCCCCCAGTTTCTGACAGTTATTTTCTCAAACACACCTGAATAAAAAAGGCTTTATCTATGACACCAAGCAACTGTTTTTCTTCTGCACTCCTCAAATGAAGAATAAGGTGTAATCTTTGTCTCTATTCTTGAAATGTTTATTTTTTCAAGAATATTTTAGAGTTCTCTTTCACTATGAATGAGGAGTGGGCTGTGATTTCAAAAGGATTATCCCTTCTCAGCTTGATAATGAATTTGAGAACTTTGTGTGTAGGTTTGTTGAAACTTCCAAGCTCCTCCCCAGAAACATTTAGGGGGCTTTGTAAAGCACAAAAGCCAACAACATACCCAGGCATAAGACCAAGGTGGAATCTGAACACCAGGATTTTTGAAAGTTCCCTAAGTGGCTCCAATGTGCAGTCAGGTTAAGGGCCACAACATTAGGCAATAAAACAAAGAGCTGTGTGTTGCTGCTCTGGCCTGCTGCAAACCTGGCTCATGTTGAGACATCTTGGCTCCATACCAAAGCCAAGAAAAAAAGAAAAAGAGAAAAGAAAAAGGAATTGTGGCATTATTGTAATTTGTCACATTTAAATCCTTTTGAGAATATCCCAACCATGGTACTAATGAGCATTTTAGTTCTATATAGTGTGAAAAGTCTTCACCTGTCATTCACTTTATGATGTACTGAAAGTCAAGCCCGTAATTGTTATTAATAGACATATTTCTTTTACAATGTAGCTTACATTAATTAGCCTATGAGCTCCTTTGCAAGGTGTAAATCAGAAGTCATTCATTTTTGGTAACTTGGTGTTCCCATTGACATTAGCGTCAAGGTGTCCCCGGTACTTCTGGTAGGGAAGTATTGTTTAGTCCCTGAATGTCATGGGACCCATCCTCCTCCACTTAGTCTGCTCTCCTGTTTTTGGACACATCTACTTTATTTCTGTTCCCCAGAGCTCACATATAGCTGGAAAAAAATCCTTTCCCCCTTAATATTGAAGTAGTATTTTCAAATATGATCAGGTACTCCAAAATATCTTGGGTAATGAAAGTGCTGTACAAATGTAAATTGTCATTATGATGATGGAGTTAGCCTTTCCACTATCTGATCCATTTTTGCCATTTCCTTTCTCCCATATCTTCTTATTATTGGCAGCCTGATAATAGTCTTAAGGTCTGGCAATCTTCTTTCCCCAAATACTTCCTCTAGGACGTCTTCTTTTTTTTGTTTTGTTAAGAAATAATGAATCTTAATTCCTTAATTGACTATTTGCCCTAAAACACAAGGATCACTAATAATTATAAAACTTCTGATGTGATTTCTCATCTTTATCTCCCCCCATTTCTGTTTCTCTTCTTTTCCATTCATTTCCCCAAAGCTTCTTTACATTTTTTTTCATTTCATCTTCTCTCTTTTGTATATGTTCTAAGAAATACTGGTGGTATCTGGGAGCATTGACTTAAAGACAAATAATAAAACATGCTTTTATCATCTTCACAACTTGCTATGAAACTTATTTTAAAACTTCACATCCCTAGACTTTGGCTAAACAAGTTAAAATCAGAGCGTAAAATATTACACTATGGTAAAACAATGACAGATTGATCAGGATGAATCAATAACAACAACAAGAAAACTGTATGATTTTTAGAACTGTATTTTTCTCCTCCTGTTTGATTCTAGTGTGTGCGTATGTATAAATAAATAAGCATATCTGTTGTAGCTTTCACATTAAAGCCTATTTTCTTCTTGGATAAATAAAAATTCAATTTTATATCCCAAAAGTTAATGCATAACAAAAAATGCGGAAAGAATGAAAGTATATTATTCAATGGGGCTTACTGTGTCTCAAATTTAGTAAAAGCCACAATGTGATTTATTGGATTCATTCATCATTAGTGCTTAGAGCAATACTTGGATCCATAGAGAATGATGGTGTGCCAGGTGTGAAGGAATTTACAGAAGAAAAACCTGGCTTAGATAAATGTTGTCATTTGTATGGTAAGTCCCATATGCTGGGAATAATGACTTATGATCAATCATATTCTGTTGTTAATTTTAATTATAAGTTAATAGTAATCTCAAAATTACTTGCCATAACATTATATGATTCTCCATTTCTAAATACTTTGCTGTGGCTTTGTATTATTCCTTGAACAATTAGTTCCTCCAGGATGTCTGATGACTTTTGTCGCTCTTGATTCTCTAGAGGTTGCAGTTTATTGATTAATCCATTGGTCACTGGGTCTTCCAAGGAAAAGAAAAAAGAAAGAGAAATTTAAGAACAAAGATTTTTATCAATTGCGTGCCTTACAAATCACGTTATTCACTTAAATCTTAGTCTTAATCTTAGTATCTGTTTCTGTTATAAAACTTAGTAATTCTGTTAAGTTCAAATTATTACTGTTGTTACAGAGGAAGTATATTGATGTAATATATTCTTTATTTAGCAGGTCTCATATTAACATAACAAAAGTCTCCCTTGTGCAGTTATGTAATGCTTTTTTGTTGTAACAACACTTACACACTTGGGGCGGTGATGTGAGTTTGTCTGCTAATTATGAAGCTAACCTACAGCTAAGACTGAGACATTCTTGTGACTCCTATGAGTTGGAGTTTGGTTTCTATGCTTCGTATACAAAGGATAAACAGGGCAATGTTGCCAGGAGACGTCTAGTTCTGCAACCCTGAGTGTACAGTTACATCATCTGCTAAATCTACAGAAGTGAAAGTATGTATCTTTGAAGCTTTGAGCTAAATCAGAATGAGAATTCGAGTGGTATCAGCTAAATTTTTACTAGTGATCCTAAAAATGAGCACTGAAACATTAATAGGAGACCCCTTGTAAACTGTAGTCATGAGAGACCTCTTTATTACAAATCATCCAGTTACATAAATTATCAAATAAGCAGTCACACTAATATCATCACATTATAACACAAAGGGTGCTGGCTGGTTGGTCTGTAGGCTGCTTTGGCCTTCTTTTTCAAAATGATGCAATGTGGAGTCCTCAGAAATGAGCTCTCTTACCTTTGGTGGATGGAGTCTTTTAATGAAAAGTCTAATCTCAAAGGTGACAAAGACACCTTCCTTGAATTTGTGCTGGGAAGGCAGACAACACGCCCACAGACATGCACACCCACAAATCAGACATGTCTCACTTCAGAATATTAATCTACCTGTTACAAAAGATTTCTCCAACCAACCACGGCAAAAAATGCCAACAAATTCCTAACATCTCAGATCTTTTCAGGGTCTGTTCTTCTGCCCACACAAGTGTTTGAAACAGAAGCAATTCTCATTTTAAAGTGCTCCATGCAGGCTTTGGCACTGAGCGGTAAAATATATCATCTAAGCAGGTGAACTAGAAACTTGAAATGGTGGAGAAAAATTTAACAAAAGGTCCGAGGTGAATCCACTTCAAGGAATTAGAATTTTTTTAATATTGTTGTTGTTAGAAGATGGACTTTCTGGCAGGATCAAAATAATAACAATGACTATTTATTGAGGACTTAAGGCACCTCCACTATACTAAGGACTTTATGTACTGCATCACATCTAATTCAAACATAACTCTGTCAGAGACACTATTATCTTGATTTTATTGACAAACCCACTGATGCCATGGAGGTGAATTAACTTGCTCAAGGGGACTTGAGTTGCAAGTGTGTTACCTAGGACTGAATCCAAGTCTGTTTGCTTCAACATCCATGTTCTCACCACCTCCCTGTTCTCCCAGACGTGTCATATAAATGGCTACATCCTCAACCCCAGGGTCTCTCTCCTAGGATGCTTCTAAAAGGGATATCATGTTTGACATCTGCTGCTAGTATCATAAAATTATTGCAACTATTCTGATACTTATTTTCAAAGTCCACTAAAGTATTTGGCGTGATAGTAACAGTAGCTAACCCCTACAGAGATTCCTGGAACACCATGATCATTTAACTCATTTTCATGGGACACTGGAGCATATTGGGAAATGTTTAAAAATAACAACCTGGTTCTATTTTATTATAAAAGTAATACATGATTACCATAGTAAATTTAGAAAATATAGAAAAGAACAAAAGGTAAAATTAAAATGCCTATTTTATCATTGTGAAATATGAAATTTTATTTCAAAATTTAGCATCACACTATACACATAATTTTGTTTCTTATGCTTACCTTAGCATTTTCTCATGTCATTAGAAATTCTGTATAAGTGTAAAAAGTGAAATTATACTAGAAAACATGGATGAAATCATTAACCTTGGTGTAAGGAGAAGCTTTCGGATTTTCTCAAAATCCAAATGTAATAAAAGATTGATAAATTTTACTGAACTAAAAATAAAAAAATAAAACTTTTACAAGCCAAACGAAGAGTCAAAGGTAGATATCCTGTACTTCCAAATGTATGTACTTAAAAAGTACAATATCGTTTTTTATATTCTTCCCAAAATTACTTAACCTGAACCGAATCATGAAATCTCAGACAAACCCAAGCTGAGGGACATTCTACAAAATAAATGGCCTGTATTCTTCAAATATACCAAGGTCTTAAAAAACAAAGAAAAGCTGAAGGTTGTTTTGATTAAAGAAGACTAAAGCCACATGATAAATGAATTAAGCATGTCATCTAGGATTAGACTCTGAATCATAAATTTCTTTATAAAGGTCTTTTGTGATATAATTGACATCATTTGAATAGAGTCTATAAATGAGATAATAGTACTGCATCAATGGTAATTTCCTGATTTTGATCATTGTACAGAGATTATGCAAAGAATATTCTTGTCTTTAAGAAATACACACTGGTTTATTTAGAAGTAAAGTCACATTAAATCTACAACTAATTCTCATAAAAAGTATATACACTTGCATATGAGAGGTTATGATCATGCAACTGTGGTGACATGTTAACATTGCAGGAATCTGAATGAAAGAATGTAGAATACTGGATTTTTTTTTTTGCACCTTTGATTTTTTTCCTTGAGTCTGATATTATTAAAAATAAAGTCTTTTTTTCCCCTTAAATTCTTTTATTGGTACATTTTAGGTATACAATACGTTTACATTTATCATTGGGTGCTTGTACCTGTCCATGATGTATCTTGGTTCTTATGTTTTCTCCATTACCTGTGTGCCCTTCACCCCCTCCACCCTTCCCTATTTGCATAGACTTTGTTTCCATATTTTTTCTTTTCTCATAATTTTTCCTTTCCTTTCTTTCCTTTCCCCTTCCCCTCTTGCCACCCCTACCCCTTTGGACCTTTTCTTCCTATTTCAAATTATCAATTATTCATTTTAATCCTTATTTACACTATCAGTTTCTCACACCAGAGAAACTATTCGGTATTTACATATGTGTGTCCTATTTATTTCACTTAAGAGTATGGCCTCAATGTGGATCCATTTAGCTATAAATGTCTCTAGTTTCTTGTTCTTTATGGCTGAGTAGTACTCCATTTTATAAAAAGAAACCACATCTTCTTTATCCAGTTTCCAGTTGATAGGCATTTGGGCTGTTTCCAAGCTTTCGCTATCACAAACTGTGCCGCTATAAACACGGGTGCACATATATTGCTGAGGTATGATTCTTTTAATTCTTTGGGGAAGATACCCAGCAGGGGAGTAGCTGGGTCAAATGGGACCTCTAGCCCTAGTTCTTTGAGGTATCTCCATACTGATTTCCACAGTGGTTGCACCAGTCTACACTCCCACCAGCAGTGGAGCAGGGTTCCTCTTTCCCCACAGCCCCGCCAGCATTTGTTATTGGTTGATTTCATGATAACAGCCATTCTTTCTGGAGTGAGGTGGAATCTCAGCATTGTTTTCATTTGTATCTCTCGAATGACCAGTGATGTTGAACATTTTTTCATGTATTTATTTGCTATTTCTACTTCTTTGTCTGAGAAATGTCTGTTCATTTCAGATGCCCATTTTTAAATTGGGTCTTCAAATTTGGGGGGGGTCTGATTTTTTTCAGTTTGTTATATATTCTAGATAGTAGTACTTTGTCTAAGGTACAGCTGCTAAAATTTTTTTCTCACGTTGTAGGTTGTTTCTTAGCTCTGTTGGTGGTTTCTCTTGGAGTGCAGAAGCTTTTTAATAAGATGAGATCCCAGTTGTTGATTCTTTGTGTTAGTTCCTGTGCTACTGAGGTTTTGTCCATAAAGTCTTTTCCTATGCCAATGTCTTCAAGAGTTCTACCTAACTTATCTTCCAGCAAGTTTAGTGTTTCTCTTTTAATATTTAGATCTTTAATCCACTTCAATTTTAGTTTAGTGCATGGTGATAGATATGGGTCTAGTTTTAATCTTTGGCAGGTTGAAATCCAGTTTTCCAACACCATTTATTAAATAGGCTATCTTTCCTCCAGTGAGGGTGGTTGGCTCCTTTGTCAAAGATGAGGTGGCTGAGTATGTCTGGAGTTGTTTCTGAATCTTCTAATGTATTCCACTGATCCTCAGGTCTGTTTCTTTGCAATACCATGCTGTTTTTATCACAGTAGCTTTGTAGTATAGTTTCAAGTTGGGTATTGTGATACCCCCAGCCATGTCTCTGTTTCCTGGAATTACTTTTGCTATTCTAGGTCCCTTCTGGTTCCAAATGAATTTTTGGACTGTTTTCTCTACCTTTGTGAAGTATATTTTTGGAATTTCAATCAGCACTGCATTAAATCTATATAGCAGTTTTGGAAGTATGACCATTTTCACTATATTGATTCTTCCTACCCAGGAGCAAGTGATGTCTTTCCATTTTCTTATATCCTCCTCGATCTCCTTTTTCAGAGTGCTGTAGTTTTCAGTGTAGATGTCTTTTGCTTCCTTTGTTAGATTGATTCCTAGATATTTCATCTATTTGGATGCTATTGTAAAAGGAATTGTTTCCCTAATTTCTCTCTCAGTGAGTCTGTTATTTGTGTACAAGAAGGCTATTGTTTTTTGAGTGTTGACCTTGTATCCAGCTACTCTACTGAATCTGTCGATTAAGTCTAGAAATCTTTTGGCTGAGTTTTTTGGGTCTTCTATGTAAAGTATCATATCATCAGCAAATAATGACAGTTTAACTTCTTCCTTTCCTATCTTTATTCCTCTTTAAAAAGGAAATACAGATAGGCCTAGACTTACTGATGGTTTGACTGAAAGTGTTTTGGCTTTATAGTGGTGTGGAAACCATATGCATCTTGTAGAAACCATAATTTGAGTTTAGGATTTGGATTCCACCCCCACCCACCCAAAAATGGACCAATCTTCTCCTAGATGCTGGACAGTGGCAGTGACTACAGCTCCCAGTCAGCTCCACGATCAGAAGGGGAAATGACCAACAATGTACAGTGTGTTGTGTGGCTGAGCTACAGTAGGATATTCTATAAATTACATGCTGCCAATTCATTTTCAAGTTATGGTACTTTTGATTGATGTTTATCACAAAATAATTCCATCATAAGTAAGTCAAAGGCCATGTGTACATGGGAAATGATAGTGTTAATTTAAAAAAATGGTATTGATTGCTTCATCAATAAGATTACTAGTGGTTAGTACCATTTACTCACATAATGAAGGCTAAATTCTAATGTTTTAAACATAACAATCTTCCCATTTAAAGTACCCTCTGGTTCACAGAGCAGTGATAAAGGTCACCAAACATGTATTATATAGTACACTTGGAGAAATGATTTTTTGTAGAGATCAATATGAACAGAAGCTTTTACCTGAATTTGCTTTTTTATTCCTGTTGCTAGGAGATGGAGAACTTTCTGGAATGGTTCCAGGTAAACTTCCCATCAGGGCTTGCGGCTCAAGACGCTCTGCACGGTCCACACTGTCCTGGGGAGGGGTCCCTCTGGTTTGGGGGCTACAGTTCTCCCTTGCAGGTGTCACCCTGACATCAGCCTGTGAAAATGGACCAGCATGGTGAAAATTCAGATTTCCTGGGGGAATGAAAACAGTGCTGCAGGGTCTGCTTTGTACGCCTTTAGTGACTGAGGTAGGCTAGAGAGCACCCAGAAGCCTGCAGATGTTAGGTTGTATGGCAAATCTACGTAGCAGATGTGATAAAGTCAATCTTCTCCAAGGGGCAAGATTATCTCGACTCATCCAGGTGCCCCAAGGGCAATCACAAGTGTTAGAGAAGAGGAAAAGATGGTGTGAGGGTGGAAGCAGGGAAAGATTTGAAGATGCTATGGCCCTGGAGTTGAAGATGGAGAAAAGGGCCACGAGCTAAGGAGTGAAAAGCACACAGCTCTAAAAGCTGGGAAAGGAAAGGAAAGGGTTCATGTCTCTGAATCTCTGTACTGAGTTTGATTATTTTGGACTTCTGACTTCCAGAAGACATCTGGGTTGTCTTAAACCATCGAGTTGGTGTTAAGTTTTAAAAGTAGGAGTAGGAAACTAACATAGTTCTACTAATTCCTTTTAGTATCTAATAGGTGTCAGTCAGATTCAAGCTATCTTGAGATTTCTTGAGGATACCACGATAAACAAGCTCAAGGTCACCAAATATAAAAGTAGAGGTACTATTGTATAGAAAGCATTTTAAAAATAAGATTATATTGATTTTAAAGATTAAAAAATGTAATGCAGATTCATTATAAAAGTAAACAATATAGAAGGAAACTGTGATGGTCACTATAGTAGCCTGTTATTCGGTCAGACATTAACCTAGGTGTTGCCATGAAGGTGTTTTGTATATGTGATTTAGATCTACAATCAACTGACTTTAAGTGTAAGAGATCATCCTTGATTATCAGACTGATTCTCATCCAATCAATTGAACGGCTTCAAGGGTAGACCTGAGGTTCTCCTGCAGAGGAAGGAATTCTGCCCGAACTACAGCTTTCTCTCCAGCCTACTCTTTCGGACCACATGCCATATTCTATGGGTTTTGGACTTTCTTCGCCAGCCCCATGATTGCACAAGCCATTTCCTTGCAATACATTAATCTCTCTATTGATTTATCCATCTCTCCGTCTATCCGTCTCTCATCCATCCATCCATCCATCCATAAATCTATCCATCTGGATCTGTTCCTTTGGTAGAACCCTAACTGGCACAGAAACATAGGCAGTAAGAAGGAGTACCACTCTTTAGATGTAAGCACTATCAACATCTTAGTTATCACCTCCTAAATGTATTTGCTTATAAAAATAACATTTAAAGGTAAGTTGAAGTTGGCCAAGAAGCCTGTGGAAAGATATTCAGTATCATCAGTTATTAAGTAAATAAGAAATCCAAACCATAATGAGTTGCTTCACATGCATCAGGACGATTACAAGGAAAACACACGCACTTACACACACACTCACACACACACAATAACAAGTGTTGGTGAGGGTGGGGAGAAACTGAGGTCCTCATGAACCATTGCTGTGGGAATATAAGATGGCACAGCTACTTTGGAAAATCATTTTAGAGTTCCTCAAAAAATTTAACCATTGTAACCACGTAACTTGGAAATTCAGTCCCAGGTATATACCAAACAAAATGAAATTATGTGTTTACCCCAAAAACTTGAACCTAACTGTTCATAATATTCAAAAAGAAGAGACAACTGAAATGTCTATTAATAGATGAGTAGGTAAATGAAAATATGATATAGTCATATAAAGGAATATTATTTGACAACAAAAAATTTAAAATACATGTACAACATAGACAACTATGATAAGTGAGAGAAGCCAGTCATAAAAACCATTCATGCTCACAACAGGCAAATTTATAGAAGCAGCAATAAATTTAGTGGCTGAGTAAGTCTAACAGAAGGGAAGTTGATGAAAATAAGGATGGCTTATTTTTTTTAGAGGGAGCAAAAATGTTTTAAAATTGGATTGAGGTGGTGGTTGTCAATTGCATGTTTTTTTGTTTTTGTTTTTTTGGGTTTTTTTGGTACTGGGGATAGAACTCAGGACCTTGCCCATGCGAGGCAGGCAGCAGCACCACTGAGCTTATTCCCCAGCCCAATTGCATGATTTAAACAGGTTAATTGTGTGGCATATGAACTGTATTTCAATTAACTTGCTTTAAAAAAATAAAATAGATCAGATCATTTATTAAATATTATATTTCAGTAACACTTCTTTCTCCACTAACAATATATTAGAAACAATTGCCTATTGTATCATATTTAGGTCTGTCTCATTGTATCTAATGGTAAGGAGTAGCTTATTCAACAATTTCATTGTAGGGGCCAGGAATTTTGCTCAGTGGCGCTGCGCCTGCCTAGCAAGTGCGAGTTTGATCCCCAGTACTGGAAAAAAACCCAAACAATTTCATTGTAGTTCATTTTGTAACTCTACCACAATTCATTTAACGAATTACTAAGCTGTTTCTAACTTTCTAATATTATAACCAGTCCTGAGATAATAATATTGTTCATACACTTGCTTGTGAACCCATCTACTGGTTCCATGAGAATTCCGAGATGTAGGTAGATATGCTGGCTCAAAGGCCATGCACACTTTCTAACACTACTCTATGTGTTCTCAGAGGGCTCTGCGTAAATACTGCACCATTTTAAAAAATTCATGTTATCTTTTAAGGGTCTTTATTTCTTCAGACCACAGTTGCATTGCTTATAAAGCTAGGCTGTGACATAATAAACCACTGACATCTCAGAACTGCTCCATGTGAAACTTTTTACAGTTCTAAAACAAAAGAAGAAAAATAAAAATGTAATGAGTTTCACCAACTTGATTCAATGTAAGCCATTGTCATTTATTTGGATAATAAGTATATTTTAAATATGAATCTGTTATATTCTCCTACTATGTCCCTCTCTCCCAGGGTCGGCCCTTCTTTCACCGCATGGGTTTCAGTTTTCCACCTCTCATTTCAATGGATGTTATCAACTTTTCCTCCATCTAAGACACATGCACCAGAGGAGGCTTCCTCACTATCCCCAGAAAAGATAAGAACATAAGCCTCGGAGTCTGTGCATATTGCCCTCATGGGATCCTTTTAACGTCTACTGGCTATTTCTGCCCTAACGGATGCCCTGACTTTGAGGGGCTCAGCATTCCACTGTCAGCCTCCCATTCTACTGAACAGTCTTGCTGTTCTAGGACACAAGTTTGTACCTTGCTGGGAATAGCAAAAGGTTCTAAAGGGGAGAGAAGCTTGAATGGAGTCTTGATAAATGAGTTCCCCTCAGGCAAGGAGAAAGAGCTTTCCAAGAGGGAAAAGCATACAGGTAGGTGTATGATTCCATGCCACGTGCCAGGAACTTGAATGATTCCGGTATTGGGGAAACAGACTGAAGCAGAGAGAGGAAGGTGCTGAGTTGGGAAAAGGAAGTCTTTTGTTACAAGTAAAAGAGATGGATTATTTTGAATTCAACAGGAATTTTTTTCTTTGAAGAATTTTTACCCACAGAAATGAAAGAAAATCATTATGCATGCTTTTAAGAAAGATTACTTGTGGGTTAGTGCAAATTATGGGAATAGAAGGAAGAAAAGAAGGAATAGAATGGGTCGATGAGTGAGTATTAGGGCTGTTGCCCAGCATGAACTAGGACCTTGGCAGTAAAAACAAGGGGAGGAGGTAGGTCTTGAAATACTGGGAAGAATGATAAAGGACGCTCAGGGGTTCAGTTTGAAGAAGGAAGGCCCCTTCTGGATTTAAAATCATGACTCTCAAAATTAGACAGAGACCGAGAAACTCTAACAACTGTACACAATTTAAAAAAATAGAAGCACATTTGGCTGCTCTCTAGAATTGTTTCCCAGTAACAGGAGCGCCAACTATTACACGCTCCAAAGTTCGAAGTTCCTCAGAGGCCAAGGAGAAGTCACAGTGGACAGGGTGCAGGTCATGCTCAGGATCTCATAATTCGATTAGAGCTTCTTATATATTCCCAGGGGAGATTTACATAGCTCCTTATTGTGTTTGCAGAAAATGATCACCGCAGCTAAACCAACATTGTTTTGTGGGTTCATTAGATCTATGGCTCACGACGACATGGGGAATATGACAACCAACCAACCAAACAAAAACTCAATGGGTCTGAAATAATAAGTCAGCACAAGGAGAAAGCCTGGAAGCAACCATGTTCTTTTCTCTATCTTCACTTTTCTTCATAGACATTCCTGCCCAAGCAGTCCCTGCAGAATAAGCAAACCCAGGAAAAAATCTTTACATCCAACATAGCTCATATCACATGCAACACAGAATGCACACATGGGCACAGGTTTCATACATATAACAAAGCAAAAAGAGAGCTGATCTGATGTTTTTTTCTTTGAGAGGTTTACAATTCACATTGAAAATAAAGTCCAAAGCATGTTAAGCATTTTTTGCCTTATTCTCAAACTATTAAAAGCCAGTATCCACAGTGTTAGTAAGACAAGTATTTTTCACAGGTTCATTTTGTTTTGCAGATTCATAATTTTTTGAGACCAGCAGTGAGTTCCAGATAGGGACTCATCTTGTCACTTAACATTTCCAAGTGGAGATGCTGGAAAAATCTAACTGATTTAATAACAACAGCAGTACCAGCAGCAGCAGTAACAACAAAATGCTCACATTAGAATTGAAGGCAAAATCAAGTGTTTTCAGTGGATGACTTTTCACAAAGACATTCCAAAACTGACCAATTGGAATGGATTTAAACGCTATAACATTGAATGACCTCACAATTACTTTGTCAGGTGCTGCTATGTAGTCACTTGAATCCAGATCTCAGCAATGAGCTCAGCCCACTTGTGCTGAAAGACAGCCTGCTGTTAAGCTCTGTTAGCGACCAAAACTTAAGCTGTGGGAGACAAAACACCATCTTCTACCATCAAACAATGTATGCCAGCCTGGGAAGAAATTTAAGGCTCTTTTTTTGAAGACTAAGACAATCTTTCAAATATCAGTGTGCAGCACATTCTGGGAATTTTAATTCAATTTGATAATTTAGACTTGAACATAGACATAGTTCAAAGACCAGAGATATTGACAGTTTAATTAAATCTATGCCTCTCAGGGATATGACCAACAGCCTTTTTTCCCCATCTATACATGCAGAGTTTATATTTTCATGCTAAAAAGAAATCTATCTGCATTATATGAGAAGTGGTGCTGAGGGTGGGAATGAGAAAACATTTCATCTTTTCCTTGACGTGAAGTTGTAGTATAAATTCAACATGTTTCTACATTTTCTATCAATTTTATTTTGCACAGTAGTGGCCTAAGTATAACATTTTATCAATTTTAGACAGAGTATAAAAATTATGAACTCCAAGGTAACAGTCATGCATAAAAATCACCGGCATTCCCAAAAAAAGGCATTGTTTTTAACTATAGACAGGTGTTCCTTATTTGTTTTTTGTGAATCTTTTGAAAATTTTCAGTCTAGAGATACTATATATATGTTCTACTAGCGTTTGGAAGAACATATTTGCCAAACAGCTTGGAGGGAATAATTTGTTGAGGCTCCCTAGAGCTGAAAACTTCTTAAATCAAATTATTAGCAAACGTATTTTTCTAAATATATTTGTCTGTAGACATATAGGGAGATTTTTGTCCTTCAAAATTTGATATTTTTTTCTAGTTTACTTCTAGTAAATGTAATAAGAAATAGCAACTCTCCAAAAACACTCAGCAATATGATTGTTTAAAAAGCTAAACTTTAAAAAGTAATTGAGTCCTTTGTACAGACAATAAGCAAGAATTTCTTATCAGATATTAGAGAAAAACTGGGGACAATTTTTGGAGATCACCTATTGCAAGTAAACTTCCCCCTACTTCAAATAGGCAAGGGAATTTGAGTTATTCATGTAAAAGAAGAACACTTCTCTAAATAGGGAAGTTTCTTGTGCTTTTCTTATTGTTACACATCATTTTATTGTAGTATCTTCTTGCATTTTAGAATAAGGTGAAGGTGAAAGGCAAGTCTGTAGACAACTCTCAAGAAGTTTAATTCAGAATATTTTAAAGTTGTGCTGCTAAAAAACATAAATATTTCATCCAAGCAAATATGTTCATCTAATTTTAAAGATACGGCTGAACTCTAAGGCCCCATGCATTTATGAAAATAGTGGAAGCATTACTATTCTGATAGCTATAGAGTGTTTAATTAATTATAATCATACCCTTCCCAGATCAGATTTCCAATGTCAAGTGCTTTGGGCCACAGAAAGAGAAAGTATATTCATGAGTCGACTCTGAGTCTATTTTCAGGTTATTTTAATATTGAATTTCCTCCTTATAGACTGTCATTAGTCTAGTCATGCTACTAGGAGACAAGAGCACTAAGGGATCTGGGGAACTGGGGGCAGTTGGGGGAGGCTATGCAAGAAATATTCATTAGTGCCTAGTCTGCATAAGGCAATGCAATGAGCACCAAAGATACAAAGATAAAAAAGAGTGTCTGTCCTTAGACCGTGACAGCTCAAATAGAAGGCAAACCTGGCAATAAATAAATGTAGTAAAGTGGTTTGCAATCTCACGGGAGAAAGTATCAGATCAGCCCTATCTGTCAGCATGGTGGTAGGGGTGGGTGGGGTCTGGGGAGTTTGAAAGGTGAGTAGAATTTGACATGTGACCTTGAGAAGAGGAAGAAAAAGTCTGAAAGGAGAGAAAAGGGAAGATGCAAAGCATGGAGACAGAACTGGAACAGATCTTGGGAAAAAGCGGTAAGGTCTATTAGAAAACGCAAGTGGGGAGAGATGAAATGGGAGAAGTCAGCTGAGGTCAGTTCAAGGACAGCCAAGAATGGCGTGCTAAGGAATGAGGACTTGACTTTATAATCATCACCATCACTGTAAGAACTTAAGCTCTTTATTCTGTGCCAGGAATGGCCTGACCACTTATGTGAGCTGAATGAATGTAACTTTCACACCAACTGTATAAAATCAGTATTGCTACTATTTTTATTTTACAGATAAGGAAACTGGGGCACAGAGAGGTTAAAGAATGCGATGAAGGCCACACAACTAATAAGTGATGAATCCAGAAATGAAACCTTGGCTGTTATATTCTCCACCACTGGTTACGTCCTCCCCTAATGTGTTGGTAACTGTTTTTCAGCACGAGGCTGATGCATCTGGTTTTATTTTAGAGAAGTCACTCTGGAGGGAAGGTGGAAGATCAGACTGAGGCTGGAAATAGAGAAAGGATCCAGGAGGCCAAAGAGGAGAGTGGAGGGGCAGAGGATGCAGCTCAATGGCAGAGCTTCCACAGCATGGGCCAGGCTGAGTTTGATCCTCTGGGCTGAAAAAAAATCCAAGCAGGTTGATGATTCTCTATCTCACCTAGATCATTCCAGAAGGAACCAAAGACTCCTCCCAGGCTTTTGGAAGGGCCTTGATCGAGGGGGACTTCATCTATACATCACTGGGGGACTGCTTTTCAGCACTCTCTCCTGCTTTATACAACAAAATTATTTTCAGTAATAATCATGAGAGTGAACAAATGATAATGGCCAGAAAAGAAACACCAAGAGTGGAAAATGTCTTCTATCGAAGTCTTGTATGAAATCATGCCTAAAAGAAAGAAAGAAAGAAAGAAAAGATTTTCTATTTTTTGTGCGTGGGAAAAGAACAGCACGACAATACTGTTGAGTGACATTCAGGTATTTTTGGAAAAAGGGAGGAAAATATTCTTACACATTAAAAGGAAACAATCATGAATAATAACGAAGACAGGTAGAGTGTTCTCAAGAAGCCCATGAATCTATCAAGAACAAGGACTTTAAGCGAACATCCACCAAGGAGTAAGGGAGGGACGCAGCAGTTGCTCTGGCTCTCAGTCGGTACTGAAGGATGACGTAGGTGCTCACCAGCCTGACAGGAAGGGGCCAGGGATGGCACCCAGGGAGAGGGAGCAGCACAGGGAAGGGCACCAGGGGGTGAGGGAACCTGGAGGTGCCAAACACTGCAAGCCATTTGGTCTGGCAGCCGCAAGAGGCCATGAGGAAGAGGCAGCGGCACTGGAGAAAGGATGGGCCCACACTGTAAAGGGTTTTGTACACCACAGGGAATTTCCTGGGAAAACAGGTGGCAGTGTGGGAGGCAGTCAGCTGGGCTGTGGCGAAGCTGAAAGATCGGGTCATGGGGCCGAATGCAGACAGCAGCAGTTGAGGGGCGGAGAGCAGGGCAGGGTGCAAAGATGGAGGGCAGATGAATGGGGCCACCTGCCCGGCACCTGGTCCTGAGCCTGGAGTCTCCGCCTTTAAAAAGCTTGGGTTTGTTTTTTAACTGTACTCCCTGGATGTACCTCACACGTGGCAAGTGCTGTACCTGGCGTATGATAATGTCCCCCACGGTGCCTGCGGAGCCAGAGCCTCAGCCTTGAACAAAGAGCCCCTCCTGCAAAGGTAGCCCCATGCCTCAGTGTGCTGGGCTTCCGCCCGAGTGTCCGGGGAAATGGAGGAACCATGTTCCCTTTCATTTTTTTCTAACATTACCGAAGACTGACTCCAGGGCCTTTGCATTGAGCTACATCCTTTTTATTTTTTACTTTGAGACAGGATCTGGCTAAGTTGCCCACGATTGGGCTGGGACTTGCCATCCTCCTGCCTCAGCCTCCCTGGATCACAGGCGTGCACCGTCATGCCTGGCTCCCTCCCAGGATGATTGTGATGGTGAATTATAGGTCACCCTGTCTTTCGCTAACCCCTCCTAAGGAATGGATCCTTAAGGTTCCTAGTTCTGTTTACAGAATCTGGAAGGTAAAAAGGATGGGAAGGAACGCAGAGCTTATCTCTGCCACAAGCAACTCAGCCCTCCTCCGGACCCCTCCGGAAGAACGCCCTTAACGTTTCCAGACAGGACGCGCCTTTGGGGGGAGTGGAGAGAGAATAGGAACGAGGCTTAAAAACTAGATCCTGCCCAGTTCTGCGTTCGGATAAGCTGTGCAACTTGGGACGAACCTTCCACCTGGCCACCGCCTAGGCCATCGGTGGAGCCAGAGGACGCAGCCAGGTGGTTCCGGGCCCAGCTCCAAGTCCCACAGAACCCACCTCCCAGAAGCAACGCGACAGAGCCGTTCCCACCGCCCGGATAATCGCGCCCCCCTAGGACTGCGCTGAAGGTGCAGCTTCTCTGGCTCTTCGTGGCTCTGCCCTGGGCTGTGCCCAGCCTTGGCAGGCTCTCAAAGCTGGTCCCAGATACCCCTCCGCTTATCGGGAGAGTCCTGCACACACACATTCCCGACTCTGCACGCCGGCCGCGGAAAGGCGCTCCCGCCCTGTGACCCACCCGCGAGACGCGCAGGCACGGCTCAGCCCACGCAGGCGGCCCTCAAGCGTGGGAACGGCGAGGCTTCCCGGGCAAAAGTTTATACCGTGTCGTTTAATTGCGGTCGATGTTTTACCTCGCACCCCTCCTCCCAGCCCCGTCTGGGCGCAGGCGAGCGTTTCGGGTCCCGCGGGCGCCAGGAAGCTCCGCAGCCCATGCCGCGCTCCTTTACGCGCCCCGCCGCCCGCAGCTCCCTCAGCCCCAGGCGCTCGGCCTCTGGGCGGTTGCCTGGAACTGTTGCCATAATAAATCGCGTCGGCTGACCTGGGATCCCGGAGGCGGCGGGATTTGGGCAGCGTGAAACTTGAGGACCCGAGCGATCTAAATCACGGCGAGGATGTAGCTCTAGCCTGAGCGAGGGAAAGGCAGGGCCCGCGGCCTGGCAGAGTTAGTTTTAAAAATACTGGAGCCTAAGAATCCTGCGAGGACTTTCTAGTTATTTATTTTCCTCTGTGGGGCACAGTGGGTCACTCCTCCAACCTGGGACCACACGCTGAGTCCTTTTCAGTCGCCATGGAGACGGTGTAGACGCTGATCGCATAGAAAGAGGGCTGCAGATACAGTGTCACAGGGGACCTCAGAAAAGATGGTCACACAGACAGACACCCAAACTGGGAAGAACACCAGACTCTCGGGGACCATAAACGTCCTGCAGCTGCTAAATGGGTCACGAAAATCCTTTTCATAGAAGTTGCATTTTATGAGCTGTTCCTGCTGTTAGGAGAGAGCGTTCGTATGCATACTTCTCACAGAGAATTAAACAAAAGAAGGTGGAACCCATTAAAAAAAGCAGGCTAGGAGGACTAGTCCAATGAGCGACAAGTTTGCCTTTTCTGGATTTCTTTTCATCTTATGTTTCAATTGTCTTGAAGAAGGTAGCTGAAAGGGATTTTAGAGATCTACGGTATGGTATAACCCTTCACGTAGCAAGGTGTTAACTCAGTCCCTGAGAAGCTGTCTTTCCCGAGATGACCCGGACCTAGGTATGAGGAAGCCGCAGGGATGAACCAGGTGGCCTAACTCAGTTTCTCTATGCATCCAAAGGAGTCTGGAAATGTAAAAGTTCTGGATCCTTCCACGGAACTAGTGGTCAGCTCTGATGTAAGAGTCTGATTTTTTACTTAACAGCATTTAAATGTGTTCCACTCTCTCTTCTGCACACTGCTTGAATGCTTTTGTCAATTTTCCTTTTACTAAAATTGAGAAAGAGAAGATGCAGCTCAAGGCGAAGTATCATAATTATGGAACAACAAACACCAAAGATTTGTGAATGAAAAGTTGGAGCAAAGCTCAAGTCTGTTTGGGGAGCATCTTTGATAATATTGACTTATGAGTGCAATAAGTCATGTTAAATATTTCAACTGGAAACTAGAAAATTCTCAACTAGCATAATCTGATGCAAAGGATAGCCATAAAATTTTCTCAGGAACGTTTAATAGATGTCTGTAGAACTATAAGAGTGAAATACTGGACGCCACTTTTTTTTTTCTTTTAAGTCTAGTCTAACAGAAGTTTACAGAGAATGAAGGGGGTGGTATCTAAATGTGTTACACGGATATCCTTTGGAACTTCCTAGGACATCATCCAAAGCTGTGAAAATGCCCCATTTCTAGGGCGTGGAGGGCCAGCTTGTACTGGATCATGCACAGGAAGTGATTACCAGGAATATCCGGATCCAGTTGTTAAATATGGGCACTATGAAATTAAATTACATAAATTTATAATTAACTTAATTATATTGAAAGCAATGGTAATAAGTATAACTACATTTTGAGTAGCAAGGGTGCAGAGTACCTGAGAATATTGAATCATTACTTCAAAAGTCAGAAAGTAAAAAAGAAAAGGGAAAAGGAGAGAGAAATGAAGAGAAAATGAACGAGAATCTGTTAGATAATTAAAAATAGAAGAAAAGAAACACTGGTCCCATTTTATCATGGAATCTTTGGTTTGGGAAGATCTTTATGCAAAAAATTACAATTAGGAGCCATGTTGCTACAGCACCTTAGCCCCTACAGCATTGGTGCATTGCTGTAGTAGGTGGGGTTGGTCACATGGGACGAGGGGTTTTTAAACTCCAATAAGGAAAACTTCCTTATTTCTGTTCAGACTGAGCTTTTCCAGGAAGGAGGAAAATCACCCAGAGAAATCAATTCTGATCCCAATCCCAATTCATTGACTTTACTAGCATTCTCCTTATGAATAGAAAAATCATGTGCTTTAATTCACAGTCTCCACTGACTAATTATTATGGTGATATCAGTATCTTGAGTGCTGCTAAAGATGAGGCCAGTGAGGAAAGCTGATGGCTATGTTGCTATTTCTATTTGCTCTCCATTATTGGTGTAAAGCAAGGGTTAGAAAACTGTGACCCATGGTCCGATCTGGCCCCCTACTTGCCTTTACGTGGCCCTGAGCCAAGAATGGATATCATGTTTTTATAAATGTTGAAAAAAATTAAAAGAGGAATGTTACGTAGTGATTTCTAAAAATTCCATGAAATTCAAATTTTATTGGCTGTAAATAAAGTTTTATTGGAACATGGACCCTCAATTTGTTTATGTATTAACTCCAATTGCTCTTATGCTACCAACTGAGTAGCTCTGTCAGAGATCATATGTCCTGCAGAGCTTAAAATATTTATCATCTAACCTTTTAAGGAAAATGTTGGCTGGTCACTGATTTTAAATGATAAAGTAATTCCAAGAAAGGTAGTAAACAACTGTGTGGGACCCAAACCACCTGAAAGAGTTTGTGCGGCTTCCAGAAGGGGAGAGAGACCTCCTGAGAACAGCTGCCCCATGGTGGGATTCATCTCATTAAGTAGCACAGCTCCCAAGCCTGTAAGACATTTTAAGTGGCTTCATTCAGCTGCTCAAACCCTCCCCTGCTTCACTGGAGCACCCTGCTCAACAGGAGGGCTGCAGGCTGTGGGACAAAGGCTCACTGTGCTGTCCCCTGTTTTGCATCAGAGATGTAGCACAGGGGACATTGTAGCTTCTGAAAAGAAAAAAAGGAAGAAAGAAAAGAAAGCACCAGATTGTATGAAACAAGTGGCATTTCGAGTATCATCTTGAATTCAAAGACCTAATTTTAAAGTCTACATTGTTCCAGTTTTTCATGTCTCTTTGTCAGAGGTTTCAACCCAATCACTGTATTTCTGGAAAACAGCCCCCAATCATTCAATCCTTGTCTTGCTGAGATCTGAAGTTTCTATCTCAGCAATCCACTCCACCAAGTGTATTTAGAAAGCTCATGAATCTGTCTATGAACAGTTGTGTGACAAAGAAAACTTAAGGAAAACCATACCATGTAATGAAAACATGCAACCGACAACAACACATTTGCATAATCAAGATTTTTGCAAAGCATGTGACAATGCTTACAATAACACCAGCAACAAATTAATGGAGTAACCTCAAAATACAGAGTTCGAGCATATTTTAGACATCCCCTGAAGGGATTTGGTATGATGGATTCTTGCAGAGAACAACTAGAAATAAGTAAGTAAGCCTATGAACAGGGGAACAATTGTTCACTGAACCTTGGCGTTAGGCCAACAGTCATGATGTTTGCTCACTCAACACAAACTGGATAAATACAGAGAGAAAACACCAATCTCTAGGGTTATCATTCAGAGAACGGCAGCTTAACAGAACATTTAGCTGTAATAATCTCATAGAATTATAAGACTTCCATTGACGTCTACTTGTAAGAATCAGTTCTGAACTGTATTTAGATATTATATAAGTCTAATAGTGTTCTGAGAGCTTAATGGGGATGTGTAAAAAGAGAAACAATCTTGCTGAATGGCAGTTGGAAAGGCGAGCTTGCTTTTTAAAAAACTGTAACAACTCCTAAGGTTACACATGGCAATTTTCACATGCTGATATTCGCACAATTAAAGAAAAGTAATATTTAAATGATTTTCACTGCTTCCAATTTTGTCAGGACATGGGCACAAAGCACTGAGACTTTTCAAATTAGTGGTGTGATATTTTTTTCCTTGTTGGTCTTGAACATATTGTTTGACGCTCCAGGGGCGTTTGGCTGCTGGAAGAACTGAAAAAAATGAGGGGAAGAACAAAATTTCTCTAAGAGACTTGGATTTTTATTTTCCTCTGCTGGAATGTGCTGGAAAGAATGCTGGCCTAGCTGATGTGGTTCTTTCTGGTCCCACCCCTGCTCCAGCCTCGTGGACCAAGAGCAAGGAAGTCAGCCGATCCCTTGGTGCTGGCCCCTGGCTCTCAGAGGAGAAGGCTGGGCAGGGAGAGGATGCACCTGGTTCTCAAAGTGGGGCCTCTCACATCTGTGCTGGAATCATCTCTGCTGCCAATCAATGCAGATTCCCAGCAGAGTCAACAGGTGCTCTGGGGTGGGTGCTGCAGAATCTATAGTTTGTGTTTATTTTGCAGTGCTCGAGGTTGAACTCAGAGCCCCTGCATACTAGACAAGGGATCTGGCTCTTAGTTATACCCCTATCCCTTTTCTTGTATTTTGAGACACAATCTGGCTAAATTGCCCAGATTGATCTTGAACTCATGATCTTCCTGCCTCTGTTTCCTGATTACCTGGGCTGTGGTCAGGCTGAGGCATGTACCACTTGGCTTTTGAACAAGACTATGTATGTATATATGCATGTATATATGTATGTATGTATGTATGTATGTATGTATGTATTTAAATTCACGAACTTGGTTACATCTCATTTCTATACCAATATAGGTCAATTGCCCTCTAGCCTGAAATATCAGGCCAAAAGCTTTAGGAAAATCAAAATGTGCATCACATTCCACTAAGTAAACTCAAGCTTGCTCTTCGTTCTCCTGCAGGAGCCCCCTCCTCAGCACTGATGGGTTCTCACAGCCTTGTGACCTTCAGCCTCCTGTTCATACCCTCGTCCCTCTACCTTCTCCTTCACCGGGCTTTACAATTACCTCCTCTTTCTAAGAAAGCTGCACAAGGGCCTGGTAGTCAACATTACTTGGAGAGAAACTGTAGCTCTTCCCCGGGAAAGTTGGCTGCATCCTGCCAGGAGAATCGCATGAGGAGGCTGCTGTTGATTTCTCTCTTGGTAAAGATAGAACCACTGGGGCACAAGTGGGAGTTTTGGATGTAAGAGGAGTTGAGGGACAAGGGGATTGATATGGTTTATATCTTTAAAAAAAGCATCATACACTCATAGGTGGAGCTTTTAAAAGGCAGCTGAATCATGGAGTTGCCATTGCTACA